TTGGCTAATATGACAGAAAAGGAAAATGAAAAACATTGGAGAGGATGTAGGAAAATTGAGAGACTAATGTACTATTGGTGGACTTGTGAACTAATCCAACAATTCTGGAGAGCAATTTGGAACTAAGCTCCAAGGGCTATAAAACTGGACAAACCTTTTGACCCAGCAATACCACTACTAAATCTGTATTGCAAAGAGATCATAAAAAAGGGAAAAGAACCTAAATGTACAAAAACATTTATAGTAGTTTTTTTGTGATGGCAAAGAATTGGAAATACCAGGAATGCCCATCAATTAAGGAATGGCTGAGCAAGTTGTGGTATAAGATTGTAATGGAATACTATTGTGTTATAAGAAGTGAGAAGCAGGATGCTCTCACAAAACCTGGAAAGACTTACATGAACTGATGCAGAGTGAAATGAGCAGAACTAGGAGAATGTACACAGTAATAGCAATATCGCACAATGATCAACAGTGAATGACTGAGCTATTCTCAGCAATACACCCAAGATAATTCTGAAGGACTTATGACAAAAAAATGCTATCCATCTCCGGAGAAAGAACTGATGCAGTCTGAATGCAGATTGAAGCATGTTATTTTTACTTTATTTTTATTAGTTTTTTGTCTATGTTTTCTTTTACAATATGACTAATAAGGAAAAATGTGCCTTGCATGACTGCACATGTATAACCTATATCAAATTCCTTGCCATCTCAGGTTAGAGTGAGGACAGAGAGGGAAGGAGGGAATTTGTAAATCAATTTTTAAAAAGTTAATGTTAAAATTGTTTTTACATGTAATTGAAAAAATAAAATATTAAAAACAAAAACAAGAGATAATGTAGATTGTAATGAAAACATTAAAGGACTATGTGATTTTTAAGAAGAAAATATGTGTTCAATTAATTATTTACTTGAAAAGAAAAGCAAGCCCTGCATAATAGAGATACATAGTTTAATGTATAATCCTCTCCTCTTCCATAGTACATATGGAAATGCTCATTTTATTTGGTATTTGTTAAGTTCACAACAAAAAACAAAAAAAAAACAGAAAAAACTTCTTGAGACAAAATAATTATTTAATAAAAATGTTGAGAATTTATTTTATAGCATTATGGCAAAATAATAATAATAATTTAGAACTATACCTACTAGCATAGTTTAAAAAGATAAAATTATAAAAGAAATAATATATTATTTCATTTATGGAGAGAAAAAACATTGTATCCATCAAACAAATGGAAGAAATTATTGAAGAAAAATGGACAAATAATGAAATATAAAAATAAAATCATTTTTATGATGAAAATTATTTATAAAATAAAAGGAAAATAAATACATTAGGAAAATATCTATGTCAAATATATCTGATAAAATCTGGAATCATACTATATGGAACTTATTTTTTAAGATTCTGAGGAATACCCACTCCTTCATGGAAAAATGCTCAAATGACATAATCAGACAATATTACAATGAGGGAATACAAGTATCTTTACACACTTGTATTTACAAATACAAATAACTCCTTTAAAAATGTGGCTGTGGCATCCTGGGAAAAGAATTGAAATTAAAGTCAGAAGACCTGGCTCTGCTATTTCCTGACCTTACCATATGTGTGACCTTCAGTAAATCACTAAACTATTGTCTACAAACTTCCATTCCTTCATTTGGAAAATGAAAGGTATGGATCTTGAAAGCCCCCTTCAGCTCTAAAACTGATGAACACTCTAATTATCAGATAAATACTAATTAAAATCTGTCAAATTTGGGGAAACAACTGAAAAGGTTAAAATTCAATGTTCATAGGTCTTCAAGGAAAATATAGTCTATTCCATTGAAAAGCAATCTAGTGATATAAAATAAGTAATAAAAAGCTGATCATATCCTTTGACCCTGCAATCCTTCTCATGGAATATATTTTAGGGATATGATTACAAGGAAATAAAGGTTATCATCTCCAATAAGTATCCATAACTACTTCATTTGCAATAGCAACCAAAAAAGAACAAAAGTGAATGCATTCTCTTCTTCATATCTTGGCCTCCTTTTGACTCTCTAATCCTCAATAACTGCTTGGCCAACCAGTATCAATCAAGTTTCTGTATTTCGAAAACCTTGTTCATTTTCTGTCTGTATTTTTAAAACGAATTTTTGTCTTCATATAAATACAAGCTGATTTTTATTGCATTCTGAGCAAGTGTTTGCTCAGGAAAAAATGGCAAAAACTTTAAAGATACACAAACTTAAAAGACTAGAAGGGAATGCAAAGTCAATAAATAGCTAATATTTCTTTTTTTAAATTTCATTCCATTTCAATCAAAATATATAGATTTTTATCATTTTATTGGGCATTAAATTCTCTTTTACTTCCATATTTATATTTATGAGGATATTAATCTATAATGGAAAAACATTCAAAAACCACCAACACTCTCAAAACACGTCTTGTCAGTCAGGCTTTCTAGCCTGTGGCATACTCTCATCCTATGCTGTGGCTGGCCATAACATGACTGTAACATTCTATTTAAAGTAAATTTTATTATTTAGATGTAACACATTCTCTGTGTTCTTCTAGAGCAATCCAAATTATATAGAATTTCCTTCAAGTTTGATTTTCAGAAACTTGGATCTCATTTAACCCAGATAAATTCACTAGCACCTTCAAAAAATAATTATCAGTTGGAAAAAGTCAAAATTGACTGAGTGCTCACTGTCTTCCTATGTGCTTGAACAAAGAGGCTAATAAAAGAAAAGATGGATTCTGTGACCTCACAAAGTCATTATCCTACACATTTATTGACAGAGATACACAGAAAGCAGAATGCCAACTCCAGACTTAACAACAAAGGAGAGATACAAACGTGGTATTGTGATAAAGAAAAAAGACAGGTGATACCTAGCACGGAAGCAAATGTGTTTTGCATATTTTGCTACTTAGAAAGGCTTAGCAGATAAGAAGGAAATTATATAAAAGGCAGAAAGGAAGATAATTTAGAGCAGACTCTAACAACCAAGAGAGGATAAAAATTGAGCGATAAAAGAGGATAAAGGTACAGACACTGTGACAATGGGTTGACAAAAAAATTCTACCTAAGGAGACTATTGTTCACATGTTCAATTGCATGTTCCATACATGAAGCCTCCCTTTGTGTTAATGGAGAGATTTTGCTATATGCTTACAAAGTCCAGGACAATTGATCATAGGGGTTCCCTTTTGTTTTTCACCCATCCTGAACTATCCATTCCATTACAGCAAATGTTTGTTCAGAATGCAATAAAGATCAACTTACATTTATATGAAGACAAAAATTCATTTTAAGAGTACACAGAGAAAATAAACAAGATTTTAAATAGACAGAAACTTGATTGATACTGATTGGCCAAGCAGCTGTTTTTTTCAAGAGTAGGATGGGAAGGAAACCATGGTATGAAGAAAAAAATGCAAACCTTCACCAGGTCCTAGGAGCTATGCAGCAAGCAGTTATACAAACTTCCAATTCTATTCCCCCAAATAACTCTGTGATCAAATTAGTTAGCCAAACAAGGTTTCAACTACCAACAATTATATTCGCTTCGGAGTATCAGCTCCCTCCATTTTCAGTCAGCTCATCACTGACACACGTCTGTACCTCTTGAATCCTCTCCTCTTTGCACAGCTCAAAAGTTCCCAGAGGATCCCCCTATCCCTTAGGAATCTTGCCTGCCATGATCTTCTAGCCCCTCCTTCCAAATAGCAAGAATCACACTTCTCATCAACTTCCTTGTTGATAAGGGCTACCTATGTAAAACAGGTTCAAAATTGAAAGGAAAGGAGGTTTCTTAGTTTATTTTTACCTTTTTATAAAGATCTGGTTATAAGCATTGTTAATTTAACTAAATGCCATTTGAAGTTCAGTATCATTAAACAATGTTCATTTAACACTGAAATGTCTAGTACTTTGCCTGTACTTTGGTAAAAAAGAAAAATTATCTCCATCTGCTGACACCCAAAAGCTCACACTTGCTCCATATAGTTAATAATGCCAATCAGATGATATTTCCACTTGAAGTTTTGATCTCCTTGGCTCATAAAGGAAGCCTTTGGTTTCAAACTTCACAGCAAAGAAAGAAGCTGCTTTTGAAAGGACTTCACATCTGAGGCATAAATCCAGAATTCCCCAAAGGGGCATTTAATCATTTTTATGGAACGTGTAAATGACCAGGAAAACCTCCTTCTTTGATTTCACCCAAATGACAATAACTGATTACAAAGTGAAAAGTTGAATCAACAAACTGATTGCTATATTCACATAAAATTAAACTAATTGTTGCATAAAATTGATTTCACCCCCACCTCTGAAGTTAACACATTGATTTTCCTTAAAATGAAGTCTATAGAGAGGAAAATGGATGTGGGAGTTCACAATTAAGTAGTTTTTCATTAATCCATCTATATATAATGCAGACCCAAAAGTAGGTTTTAAACCCATAAATATCTAGTAAGGCTAGCTAAATAGCCTAAATTATTTGATAAAATATTATATAAATAATAGAATAGCCAATTATGCCCTTAATGCTATATCTTCAAAAGGAATAATGCATGTGTTTCTCTAGGAAAGCAGAAGTATGCATTTGCAGACACATCCATTTTCTTTTCCCCATGAAATTTTATTTCCCATGAAATCTACCATGACACACATGCCTTCCATAATCCACACCATTCCTATGCAAAACCATTACATGCAAGTCTGAAACATGATGCTCATCCCCTTTAGGGAGACTGGGTTAGCATGTTTGACTAACTGTAACGGTCAAATTAACTAGAAAAGTTCAAGCTCTTTACTTCATTTTGTATACTCCAATAATTAAACTATTGAGAAAATTATTAGAGCAATGAAAATAAGCCAAACCAAAATTTAAGTCCCAAATGAAAAGCCCTCTAAAATTATATCAATGGTGACATTATGTTGACTTCACTACGTTCAATGACAATAAGGTAGGAGAGAACATGCTCTTACTGAGGTCAGGCTGACATCCTTCACTGAATGATATATCATCGATTGCTATAGTTTCTTCTTCTCCATCATTTGAAAACCTTTGGCCTTGAATAACAACCTGTTGTACAGCAAAAGGAGAAGGCAAAGAAGCATCAGTGTCTCACTGTCTTGCATAAAATGAGTTATAAATAGGAAGATGTCACATGAATGAAGGGAATACCAAATATATTTAGAAATAGATGCTAGCACATATCATATAAATTCCCCTGGAGGGGGTCACCTAGGTGGTGCAGTGCACAGAGCACCAGTCCTGGAATCAGGAGAATATGAGTACAAATCTGACTTTGGACACTCACTAACTGTATGACCCTGGGGAAATCACAACCCTGATTGCCTCCAAAACAATGAAGATAAAAAACTACTGGAGGGAGGGAAATACGAAGTCCTATAAGTATTTACCAAGGATCTACTGAAGGAAATGGCAAACCATTCCATTATCTTTGCCAAGGAAACCCTAAATGGCGTCACAAAGAGTCAAACACAACTGAAATGACTGAACAACAACAACAAAATGTTTATACCTAAGCTAATATCCATCTTGAGGCTGCATCTCTGTCTTTAAGAGACAGCCAAACTCGATACAGAGCATGACAGAACAAACTTGTCTGGCCATCTTCACAAATAATATCAATCAGCTTTTATCAGATATCCTCTTAGTAGATGCCTCCCTCTAGTCAATCTAACCTAATACATCTCACTTTCTAAGTAGAGCCTGTAGTTTAGCTAGCCTTCTAAGCTAGATGGCACACTGGACCTGGAATTAGGAAGACATAACTAAGTACATTACTCAAATTTAATGTTGGACACTTACGTCAAACTCTCCATGAGTAAATTGGACCTCCAAGAAGTTCTTCCCACAAGTAATTTAACTGAAAATACATAAGGAAATTGACCAAAATAGGTTTTCTCCCTGAATTCATATAATGGGAGTTGGGAAAGAAGTTCTGAGATATCAATAAGTCACTTAATCATTGAAGACAAGTTTGCCTTTAGGTCTCCATTTGGATATATTAGTCACTGATAATCTGTCGGTTATACTGCTATTCTATGAACTGAAATACTTTGAAAATTGACCTTCCAAAAGATAGAAAAGCTACATTTGATTTTTTGGGGATTTATTTTGGTAGCTAAAACTCTGGAGATACCTTGGTTAACTTCATTCTAGACATATCATTTGTGATCACCAGGGCTCTATCAAGTTTTGAGTTTCTTAGTTCTTGGGGAAAAAAATAGGTATTGGAAAGAGACATGGGGGAGAAAATTGGTTAAAATGAAACTCACTACTGATCACTGACTCCTGTACGGGTATTGTTTTTTTTTAATGTTGTACAATTGACAGATTGTACAGATATATTGGAGGATAGTTTATCCCATACCATGATCTCATGCATATCTCCACATAGATTCTGATTTCATCAAATGAATGTAAATGAATGAATTCACTTAAAATTGAAGTGAAAGAACCAAAGTTATTCCTCATAAATGAGGGATTATTGTGGTTTACATTTTTTTGTTGGGGCAAAATAGTAACTGTTTCAAGAACTTCTCACAGGAATACCTCAAATATTCTGTTCTATGATCTTGAAGACAATTTCACAAACATAAAAACTTATCTCATTTGTGTTTATTCTATACTTATATATATATATATATATATATGCTTATAAACCTATAAAACTAACCTGGAGAACTTGCAAATTAGGATTTTGTGGTTTATCTAGGAGTAATGAGGGAAATATTACTGTTATTTTTGGTGAGGAAAAACCACTTTGTATAGTTTATTTCATTCTAAATAAAAAGTGGATTTTCTTTAATGCTCAAAAAAATAGGTAAGTTATTTAATCTCTATTTGCCTCAGTTTGCTTATCTGTAATATAGGAATAATAATAGTACTTACCTCACTGGGTTGTTGTCTCGAATTAAATAATATTCATAAAAGTACTTTGCAGATCTTAAAGTATTATATAAATGCTAGCAATATACTGTTGTTATTATCATTGATGTTGTTCTTGTTGTTGTTATTAAGCTCACCGTACTGCATAAGCTGGCTACATGCTAGAATTGGTTCAGTTTAATTTAATTTAATAAATGCTGATTAAGCACCTACTGTGTATAAGACATTGTCCTAAAGATTTTTTGAGTCAAAAACTTACATTCCACTGTTGGAGCATGTAATCAGACAGATAAGTACAAGAAAACTGAGCAGAGGGAGAGCCTTAAGAAGCAGGCTCCTGAATTTCTTTGCACAGATCCCTGAGTTTAGCTGCTGATAGAAGCTAAGGATTCTGGGAGAGAAGGTAAAAAGACAGTACATTCTAGGAATAAAGGACAGAATGTGTACAAATATGGGAGCAGGAGATGGAATGGTAATTTCAGGGAAGAGAAATGAAGTCAGTTTGGCTGAAACATAAAGTACATTATAATGTCAAATAACTTTGAAAACTCAGACTGGGACCAGATTGTGCAAAACTTTAAGTAGCAATCTGAAAAGTCTTTATTTCAACCTAGGGACTATAGGGATCCAGTGAAGATTTTTGAACAGGGAAGTAATATGATCAGATATGTGCCTGAGGAGATAATTTTGGCAGCTGTGCAGAGGATGATTAGGAAAAGGATGAGACTGGAATCAGAGAAGACAATTTTGGAAGTTATTTTAATAATGCAGGTATGAGGTAATGAGAGCCTGAACTATGGTCATGTTTTTGTGAGGTAGATGTGAGAGATATTATAAAAGTAGATATGACAGGATCTGCAACTGACTGGATATAATGAAGGGAGGGGAGGGGAAGAGAGGAGAGAAAGAGGGAAGAGTTGAAAAATATTCCTTGGTAACTAGAAAGACAATGCTGGGCTTAATAGGAGCAGGAAAGTTTAAAAGAAAAAGGTGACTTTAAAATGGAATATGTTCGGTATATTTAGATATATTGAGTTTAAGGAGCTTATGAGAGACACAGAGAGTACTGTAAAGCAGATGCTTGGTGTTGCCAGGTTGGACTTCAGAAGAAAACATAGAATTAGGAGTTTTTAATATAGACATGATCATTGAACCCATGAGAACTGCTAAAGTCACCAACAGAGGGAGTATGGAGAAAATAGCAGAAGAGGGCTCCAAACAGATCCTTGAGAGACTCTTAGACTTCGGGGATGGAGGAAGAATCAGAACCAGTAAAGGAGTAAGCAGGAGGAAAACTCTGAAAGAACAGCATTATGGAAACAAAGGGGAGAGAGAATATCCAGAAGGAGGCAGGGTTAATAGTATGCCAACAACCCCTCCTGATGGGATATGAAAGAAGGGTCTCCCAGGGGTGATCAGGAATGCAGTGTCTTCTGAGGCTAACTAGGTTTCTGTGATTATGAAAAGATGAAAGAATACAAGAGGAGAAGTTCTTACATGATGTCCCAGCATAAAGCATCCGAGAGAATGAATGAATGAAAAATCATTTATTAAATACTCACCGTGTGCTGGACACTGCTAAAAGCTAGGAATATGAATACAAAAATTGAGGCAGTCCCTGCTCCCATTAGCATATACATTCCAATAAGCAGAAGCAATACAGTAGGAGACAAGAGTCCAGAGAATGATGGTTTGGGTGATCACAAGGATGATGAGTTGATACGTATGGTAGTCAATGGACAGGTCCTTTCTAAAAGCAATAGCATTATTGATTATGTTACAATGCCCACAGTGAGGGCATTATAGAGGAGGAAGACAAGTTATGTAGGTGGTAGGGCAAATGACAGGATGGCATGAGTAGATAGCTGAACATGAAGTGAAACATAGTCCAATCTTGCCTGGAGCAAGCAAAATACAGTAGACTAGGCAAATCTGCATCTGATCAAGAAGGCTCAGCCTCAAGACAGCAATTCAAAACATGTATAGATTAAGTTTTCCAAGAGCTGGAGACTATAAGCACTAGATTTTGAGTCCGAGGACTTGAGTTTGAATCTCAACTTTGCTCCATAACATACAGAGTAATCTTGGGCAATTCACTGAACACGTCTTGGTCTCAGTTTTCTTTTATGCAAACTTTGGGCCCTCTTCCTCTCTTTCACTCTTCTGCTTCTATTGGAGATCTTATCAGTTTGCAAATATATAATTTTCATGTCTCATCTCTCTATCAATTCCACATTAGCATCACCAAGCCTCTGAAGGACATCTATACCTACATTTACTATAAGCTCCTCAAACTCATTATGTCCAAAATTGAACTCATTATATTCCCTCCTGAACTCATCATTCTTTTTCAAAACTTCCTTGAATGGTCCTCCCTGACTCTTGACTGTTCACCTGGCTTTTTATCCATCTTGGAGTTCGTTTTAATTGCTGGTCTTTTAATATCCCTAACTCTGCCTTGTTCTACTCCTAACCTATGACATATTTTTAGCTTTGTCTTAGATCTTCTGTTCGTCTGCAAACAATACTGATGTCTGCCCATGACACATTGGCTAAAGCCACAGTGAAGTGTTTGATTTTTTTTTACCGTTAGACACAAATAGATAGATAGATAGATAGATAGATAGATAGATAGATATGTTAAATCATTCTATACATAACTCTATCAGTTCTTTCTGTGAATGCAGATAGTGTTTTCCTTCATGGGTCCTTTGTAGCTAATTTGGGTATTTATAATAGTCAAAGTGACTTAATGTTTGATTGTTAGAGTGGCTAAAAAAAAAAAAGAGCAGCCGTGCTACGTTTAATTTGTTGCATATGCAAAGACCTGACACAAGTCAGTATCAAAAGAAAAAAACCATGGCATTATTAAACTAAGTGAATCAGAATGAAATTATTCAACCAACTAAGTGAATTAGCTGAATATAATCCTTTGATAATATTTGGGCATTTGCTACACTGACCAATGCAAATCAATGAGTTTCTCATGCTACAGAGTAGTGTGGTTAAGCTATGGCTGAATTCACGGTCCACCCCATATAGTCATGAAGACTTGGCAAAACAGTCAATAGAGCTCACCCTAGTGATCTTCACAATCACTGAGACAAAGCAAGCTAGCTGTATATTAAAAGAGACCTGCAGTTCCATGCACAGCGCGCTTTTTC